TGTACTGTGCCTTTAAAACGTACTACCATGTTTATTGTCACATGACTATCCAATCCACATTGTGAAGGAAAACTCCAATACTGACGCGACTGTGCAACTCCAGCAGCTTGTAGCAAATAGAAACGCTGTGTCTGTTGTTTTGGCACATTTTTGGCTTAAGTACACACAAGAAAGCCGAACACTGAACCAAAGGTAATACCACCAGTTGTTTACAACATTTGGAACGGGCTCAAATCACTAAAGAAAATATCCCAGATTTAGTCTGTAAGCATATTGACAGTACAAACCTGTTGAAGTAAATTAATAAATGAAAATACATCAAAATATATAACTGATACTGAGAGACAAGTACATGCTTAGTTTACACTAACTCTATTACATAATTTGTTGTTCACATGAAAATAATGGATTTGGGTTAAATGTCTTTGCTTATTTTATAAGAATATTGAACTTGAAGGCGTCAGACTTCGCCCATTCAATTATAATGGTTTAGTAACACTACCAATAGATAAACTCACTTTTACTACATTTACTGATAATTACATTTCTAATAAAAACTCCACTGTTGATCAATCACAGTACACACAGAGTTGTCACCACAGACCAAAGATGGAAAAGTCACCAGCATCACCACAAGGCCACATTTCACTGGCTGGCTGAGCAGGTCGCACCACTGAGATGTGTCGCTGTGAACAGTGGTTCCCCGCTCACAGCTGAGGTGTTTCCTGGACGAAAACCAAGGGCAAGATAGTGCTATGTTTATTTGCAGTTTATGCATCAAAGCGTGTGCAATAAACCTGATATGTTGGAAAACATTTTGAGAGATATTGCAATCAGTGAAGTTCTAAACAGTGAAACCCGAAAAACATTGCATTAAGGCCAAACATATCCACTTTGGTCTCAGCTTTCCAAAGGAGTTCCAGAAGTTTTGGTTTGCTCAGATGCAACTTTGCAAACTTAATTTGTGCTGCCATGTTCTTTTTAATGAAAACAGGCTTTCACCCAGCCATATTTCTTCAGTCCTTTTATAATTGTACTGCTGTGGACGTTTAATATGCTAACCAACTAACTAACTAAGATGTAGCTCTTGGATGTTAATTTAGTTTTTGCTGTTTCTTTGACCATGGCAAGGCCTGACTTTGGAGCAAATTTTCATGGACGTTTCAAAGACCGTCTTGAATCTTTTCCATTTGTGATTATCTTTTCTTGCCCTAGAATGACAAACTTAAAATTATTTGAAAATTTGTTTATTGGTTCCGAGATTACAAGCAGCGTTTGCTTCTCTAAGACCACTGATGCCCTAAGTCTAAGTCCTGATGTCTTTCCTTCTTGTCATTGTGCTAAAACACAGCTCAGTGCTCCTGCTAAGCCTTCTACTTTTATAGAGGTGCTCACAGTTGCTCATGATCAATTATTCAATCCATTTGATTAGCAGCGCCTGGTTGCCGCTCACGCTCTTAATTGCGATGGAAGCAGTAAGGGTAGATTCACTTGTTTACAGTATTGCATTGAGTCCTGTGGAAACGTTCTTTTTTCTGTAAGTGTCTTTGCTTTACTTCATGCTTTGCTTTGTGGTTAACAGTTAAAGTTGTTACTGACTGCAACATGGAAGGCTGTTCAGTGTAAGCACAACTGAAAAGTGTTATTCTCTGGGGAAAAAAAAGAAACATTGTAAACATCTACCAATTTCTGCCTCTACAAACATAGAGACAAACTCAGAGTTTCAGGCATTTATGGCTATTAGTCTCTGACAACCTGAAAGTCTCACTAGAGGGCGTTTCACTAGAAAAAGTTGTCGTTTATAAAACAGAAGTGGCTTAGTACATATGGATAATATTTGACATGAAAGCAGAAATCTGGCGTGCCACTTGGAAAATGTTGGAATCTGTGTTTTAGTATTGCAAACACAACACGACATTTCCAGTGTGTTTTTTGGGCCTTATTTTTTTTAGCACATCAAATAAATAACACTTTTCATAGAAATGCTACTTAGTGACAGACAAATCAGGATCTGATAACGTGGGTCTATATACTGTTGCAGCATCTCAAAACATAATCTGTGAAACAGAAGGAGATCACTTGCTTTCATAATATTTGTCACTCTTTTTGTGCTCACTTTAGTTTAGATAAATGAAGATAATGAGAAAGTAATGAAGGAATTGAATTGACTCCGTACTCTGCACACAAACAGACTAACTAACAATAAAATACAACTAAGTTTAAAGGTTTGCATCACTGAGCTGCTTAATTAACATAGCTTTTTCTTTCCAGTCCAGCTCATTATCTTCTGTAAAGTCTTTGACACACCATAGTTTAGGAATTCCTTGTTAATTATCCTTAAATTATAATAATTTCTGTCCTCAATCATTCCTGACTTGCTCTTCAGAAATTTGCACCAGTTGTTAAAGTCAAAATGTTGTCCGTAGGTTTATGTGTTTGTTGCTCTGTGACTGCACTCATGTCCCTTGCAAGTATATCATGTGCAGAGTGAGAGCTAATAGGATGTGTTGTCCTCAGCATGCATGCATTTTCATGAGGCATGAGCTCCTGCCTTATCTCATGCCCATCCCTACTTACTGTGCCCAGTAATGTTCATGTCTAATCTGGTGATATTTCTCCATTCAAGTTGAAAAGGAGAAACAGGATCAGTCGAGTATTATTGCTAAAAATGAGATGCCCTGCTCTGCTCACTGTGGGGCAGCTATCACAGACTCTCCCTAACTGATTTAGACTGTCTGTGTGGATGTCTGTGCTTGTGTTTGTCAGGGAAAGGGTGACAGTGCCGAAGGGAGAGAGAGCGAGAGTGAAGGAGAGAGATAAAGAAAGGCACAGAAGCAAAGAGAGAGGTCTCGGAGAGAGGAAAAGAAGTATGTCAGTTTCTCTGACAGTTATTTGCACAAATTGTTCATAGATAGGTGTTGTGTATTGATGACTGGAGGTATGTTGTGACAGGTGTCCTGCACTGTGACTGAAACAGAAGATAGGTAGCATCTCATTATATATATAGTAATACTTACAGATGGAGCCATCTGCCACCTTGTAGCCATCAGCTATTATTGCCATCATTATTGTCACTCTAGTTGTCTGCCCTGGTGATGCTAATTAGAGTTAACCACAGCGGCTGAAATAGTGAGCAAAGGTCAATAGGAGAGAGAGAGGGAGAGGAAGACAAACAGTGAAAGAATGAGAGTGAGGAGAGAAAAAGCAATATATAGAGCAGTGACATAGATTTCTCCTCTGTTGGCCTCTTTTTCCATAGCCTCATGATGGAATTGTGAATGGATTGTGTGCTTGAGTGATCCCAGGAGCTACTATTTTGTTCATGACATTTTGCCCCTGGGAAGATCTCCCAAGGCAAACTTGTCATGAGTGAAGAGCCAGACTAAGATGGCAAGACTAGGGGACTAAGTTACCCTGCCAAGGACAGGGTTAACAGGGCTCACACCCTTGACTCATACCTGGGGTAGGGGCTTGAGAGCAGGCACTTGATGCCTAGGACTTAGCCGTGTTCAGCAGTGCGTAGTCTTCCAATGGGCCCACCATATGTCATAGGGGTTTGAGCAATGTGAAATGAGCAACTGTCTGGCTTTCCAATCCCTGGATGTAAAAATTGGCTCCTGCTATATGGAATGCCACCTCTCTGGCTAGATATAGTCTGGCTCACTTCAACACATGGCTTATGTTCTGGAACAAGTCTCCTGGAAAGGGGCTGGACTCTACTGCAATCTGGGATTGCCCCTAGCTCTGTTTCTGTATGTTGGGGATTTCCCTGGACGATCAGAGTTTTAATTTTTTTTCTTCCATGTGCCTTTGGATTTGGGAACTGGTCCTGTATGTTGTTTGAGTCTATGCCACGAAATGAGCACCACACAGCCACACCTTCTTGCCATTGTCCTGCCAGGCCTGCACTTGGACAATAACAGTGAAACCTGAGGGTTGTGGAACACTGGACAAGTTCTTTATCATCTCAAGGATATTTGAGGGAGTTTGGGAGTTTGCCCAAGTACATGTACAAGGGTAGCAGGTACACATCTCTGCTATGTGTAGATGTGATTCTGTTGGCTTCATTTTTCAACCTAGTGTGAATCAACTGGGATGAGAATTACCCTCTCCAAGTCTGAGGAAATGGTTTTCAGCTGGAAAATGGGGGCCCTACTGCTGCAAATTTAAAGTAGGCAGAGTGAAAAGTGAAATTGAGAGACTGATATGTTTTGGTGAATAGAAAGTGCAGCATAAAAGTGAAGATGTTTGTTTACTGTCAGTCTGCATTCCTACCCTCACCTTGGACACCCACCTCAGCTTTGGGTAGTGACTAAAAGAATGAGATCATGGATGAACGTTCTATAAATGGTGATGTGCTTTCGGCATATCATGATGGGAGGAGGCCCAGGGCAAACCCAGGACACACTGTCTTGGTCTAGTGTGATCAGGGAGAGGGCGGTCTGCTGACATCACAAACCACACCCAGATACATGGTGGAAAATGGGTGGATGGATAGATGACCTTATTCTATCTGTCTCACTTGAGTTTCACATTAAGTCTAATCATCAGCGTTGCCAACCCCTTTCTTTTAAAATGTATTTTAAAATCCATCAGTGCTGAGTGATCCAGTGTTTATGTATATTTTTCCAATCTTCCTTTTTAAGGATGGATATAGTTTACCAGAAGATATTTCTTTATAACGCCATTTCAATCTGTTTAATCCTGTGCAGTTTATTGCGATTCATATCAGCATTCATCTTTACTTAGCATAATGAATAAATGGTAATAAACATCATTAGCAAATTTAATGAAGTAGTGACAGTGCACAATGAATTTAACGAAGTAACAGCAATGCACTCTGCTTTTAATTCACCTGTTAAGGAACATGATTCAAAAATGGCTATAAAAAAGTAAAGAATTGCAATGAGAGGGTTTTTTTTTTTTATTGTAAAATGCTGTTAGAGATGATAGTCATGTTTAACTCCAGTTTTTTTTATTTGTATTTCTTTTGAATGCAGCTCCAGGTCAAGAGTCTTCTCTAGAATAATCCTGGCAGAGCCGCTGAGGATCCGCAGAACGAAGAGCAAAGCGTGTAAGAAGACCTTCATAAATGCAAATCAAGAAGAGGAGCTTTCCATCTTTGTGTTGAAATAAACACTTAAAGAGTGGACAACAAATACTGGAAACAGGTAGGTGATAAAAATCTATCTTAAGCATAGTGTGTTCAGGCAGAGAAAAACATCATAAAGATGACGTTGCTTTTCATTTTTCAAACCATTTGTCACATGTATATGAAAACGTGCCTACATAGTGAATTACATACATGCTACAATCTTAAGAAATAAAACCAACCTGTCACAAGCTTCTGCCCAGTTATGTGTTTCTGTGCGTGTGTGTGTGTGTTTGTGTTTGTGTGTGGCATACAACTTGGCATTAGGGCGAAAGCATCCTTTAGTGTCTTAACAAGCATATATTATGCCATCTTTTTCCACTTTTATTGCGCTTATTTTACTGGCAACACTGCAATTAACGTTGGCAGTGTTTCACTTACCACAGTTATTATATTCTGCATGTGCATACGTGAGTGTACTGTGTGTATGTACATGTCAGGCACAGATAAAGTCAAAGAAGTAATTGTTGTAATTATTTCTTTTCCGATCACCCCTTCCCGACTGTGTTAATGTTAGTGAAATTCCCGAGACTCTTGAGACAGATGTAATGCAGAGTAACGGCGCTCAGTTCAACCACCTTTCTATTCATGAAGTGACATATCCGCGCCATTTTATGGTGCTCATATGTCATTAAGTTAATTACTATTGTCAGGAAGAGACTCGGCGCTTCTGACAACAGTGCTGCAAAAAAAAAAAAAGAAAAGAAAAAAGAAAACAGCAGTTATACATCATTGTTACAAGAACTGAGTTTTTGTTTTTGGAAGCAAACCAAAGAAAATCAAATCAAACAGTGTTTTCACATGCGTAATTATGAGAGGTGACAATTTCTGCTCAAAGTGTGCGCGTAGATGTTGCGTACCTTCTTCTAAGCTTCAAGTAGTTAAAAAGTGAGCTGAGTGTATGCTCCTGGAAATCAGCCAGAAATGCAGTGTTTGTTCTTTTAACCATTTCTGGAACAGCTTCAGTGTATGGGTCACACTTTCTGGCCTTTTTTTGCCAAAATGTTATTTCTCATGAGCAACGAGGGATTAGAGGAGGGATGTGTTTACTTATAACAAGATATATGTAAATACAGGCCGTTCGGTTCTGTTTTATTTGTGACTGTCTGATGCTAACAGACTGCATCCCACAAAGCATCTGTAAAATAAAGAACTGAAACCTGAGCATTTCAACACAGTTAATGTCCTTCAGTTTGACTTTAGTTTTCCTCATAATGACTGCCAGATGTTTAGGATTGATCTTTCTTTTTTCTTCCTTTCTTTGCTGCTTAAAGTCCTTATAGCTTGGCAATGGCAGATGGATGAGCGTCTGAACCTCTTAGATCAGGTTTTAGTTTCTAATGGGCATTACCAATGAATGCAGAGTAAAGTGCCTTGGATAGACCTACGACTAATCAGAGCTAAGTGATGGAATAATGTAGACTGACCATGGCGAGCAGAGATGTAGTTATTGGATGTTATCTTCCTCTTATTGCATAAACACTGATTGGCCATGCAGGAGCAAGGATGAGAGGAAATACACCTGAAACGTAGCTCTCTCTTTTAGAATTATGTGCTATGTGAAGTTTTGACTGTTGTTATTAGCTGCGATATGCTTACCTTAGGCAACAGTGATTGATGATCTCGACTTTTATGTGAAATGAAAAGTGCTGTGTGATTTGTCCTGACTGTGATAGAGAAGGGGAGGTTTGTAGTTACAGTTGTGAACCTGCCAATTCCCCTTAGAGCTACAGCCTCATCATATGTAGTGGGTTTAACATAAAAATGAGACTTTGGATCCATAAAACAACGGAAGATAAAATCAGATCATAATAACAATGTGTGTGTGGGCCACATACTGTAAGTATTAAATTATAAGACAGAGTAGGTTCTCTGTCTTTATTGGGTCTTTTTTTTACCAGCCCAACAGTGTTTGTCACCAGTTGCATAATCACTGCTAAAAATGAATGCCTTGAGGCTTTTGTTCTCCTTCTAACTTTCTTAACATGACCTTTGTGTTTGTTTATGGTTAGACCGTCATTTCTTGATGTTGAAGTATTTCCAAAAGGCTTTTTAGTTTTTTCCTAATTTTCTAATTATTTAAAATAAGCACCAGTTCCACAGTAAAAAGGCGTAGTGCAGCTGCGGATTTTAAGATAACGCTTCTAACGAGGGCCACAGATTGTTCTGAATTTTGGTGTTCACTTTTAGCAATAGAGACGTCCAGTGATATAAGTATAGTCTCATGGAAAGGGTTAGTAACTGGGGGGAAATATTGCATTCATTGTCCCCCATTAAGTGATTGTTTTAAATAACATGTTCTGACTGTATGGCTTACAAGCTCAAACAACATTGGACTTCTTTGGCACCCCTGTGCTCTGGCAAAAATTGCATAATCAAATTAATGTGACAATGCCCCAACCTGTTCTCCTCTCAGTGCGTCAAATGCTGCAATTCTGTTAGACAGGTGTCACATTGATACCCACAATGTGTCCTTAGGCAGAAATAACTTGCTGGTCACTATTGTTTAGGAATTAGCACATTGTTAGTAGATACACGCAGAACTTGCAATTACCATTGGCACATTATTGTAATTGGGGCAACTTAGTAAATCTTGCCTTTGACAGTATAATGATTTTGACTTTTTAATACCAATATTTGTTTTGGTTTCCACAGACTGTTTATTTAGTACATTCAGTTCACTCATTAAATATCTATTTGGCCCTAATTTTAATATCTTAGAGGCCCAGAAGTAGAGATTTGTTCAAGAGGTGGATGGTACTAATGTGTCCCAAATGACGTTACCCCTTTTTTTCTGAGTACCAGCATACTAGTGTCACCTACCCTGTAAGAATTATTAATGAAAAGCAATAGCTGCTAGAAAAACAGTGGTAGTTTATTCCTTTTTTGTGCAGTGGGATTTGCAAATGTTGACCCCTATTCCTCAAAGACATACATGGTTTCAAGCAAAGATTGTGTGTCATCCACATAGATTCCAGCATACACGTGCTCTCAGCATGACTGCAGTGCATCTATATGTGCCTTTATATGCGCTACCAGTCACTATGAGCTCAAGCCTCTCTGCTGGAGCTAGAAGTGCTGTCTCATCACAAGGAAACCCTTTATTCACAGCAGCAGGTACTTCTCGCTTAAATAAAAAATAATGATGTATGCAGGGACTGCAAAAAATCTGCAAATCAATCAAGAATCAGTCAAATAAAGTTGAAAATGTTTAATCTAAGAAAGACATCATTCCTAGTGTTACCTTAATACAGATTTACCAATGTTTTTAAAAATTGCAAAAGAGCCCATTGATTAAAACAAAAAGAAAACCCAGAAACAACCCTTAAGATTTTAATGTAAAAAAAGAGGATACTTATCTTACATTAATAAATAAATAAACATTTGTTTGTGTTCGATTTAAAAAAATCAACCACAGTGGGTGCAAAATATAACTGATAGCGCTGTCCAGGACACAGTGACAAGCATTGCTGCCTTACTTGTATATTTAACGACCTAATTGGCTTGCAGGATGAAATGTGCCCTTTTTTGCATAAAAATCTCTATTTAAAGGGGAAGTGCTAATCATAAATATCAAGGTCAACTTCAGTTGCTGACCTACTTGCCGTGAAACTGTGGAAGATTTATGCCTGCAAGTCAAAGATCTAAATCATTAACATTTCAGGTTTTTCCATATAGCGTCATACCATTTAATTGTCATATTTGCATAAGTCAACATTTAATAATTCCTTTTGAAAACCTACAAAGATACTCCAATAAATTATGCCTAAAATTGTTGCTTTTTACAGTTACAGAGGACTTTTGTCTTCTTTGGTTTTCCCACTGATTTGTTTGACGACCTGTATCCTCAGTGCTCATCGGAAATGCTACTCATGGTCATAATTCATAATGGGCACATTAATATTGTGGAGAAAGTGAACTGGCTTGATTTTTAAGGCAATTTTTAAAAGAGATGTGTTTATATGTGCTGACAAAATATAGAACACATGTGTGTTTTGTGCTTTTGAAGCCTCAGGTTGATAGAAATTCATCTGAACTATGACTCCAAAAAAGAATTTGTTTATAGCTTCACCACTAAAAGTTCTTCTAAAAACACTATCAAACCCACCAAGGATTGACACAGACAGAGACCAGATTTGAAAGCCAGCTTGTGGGAGGGTTTTAAATGGGGAAATCTCTGGAAGAAACACAGGAATTACAGATGAAAACTATCACCAAACCAGCATCACAGACTGTTTGAAATTCATGCAAAATGCCTACAGAAGTTAGTTTCTGCTAAACTAGGGAATACTCACTTTGACGGGAACAGAAGAATATTATTTCTGTGTGTTCAGGTATATCATTTTTGTCTGTAGACTGTATATCAGAGAGGATCAAATGTTTTGAGGTTCAAATACATTGTGCAACCAGTGGTTTCCCTGTTTGTTTCCTTGCTTTTGATGACTAAATTATTTGGCCACATTTTAGCTGACTTTCTTACATTCTGAAGCCTTTCAACTTTGTGTTAATATTGAGAAACATCAAATTTCTGTAAAACAAAAAAAAAATGTATGAAACTTGGGAACTTTATGTTAAAGTCTTCTCGGTTGGAGGTGCTAGTGATTGAAGTTTTAAAGACATAATCAAGGGTGAAGGGCTTTGCAGGATATCGCAGCTTCACATTATTATGACATTTGATTATTCGTAGTTTTAGCCCAGAATAATGAGTTCAGTCTGAACTCTAATCTAATGATTACAAGGAACCTGCCACTTAGGAATACATTGGTGAAGTGATTCATATTCAAAAGATTTAACATTTGCTGCTTCTACTGTTTATCTTACAGCACAGTGCAAATTTTTGTGCTTGCAATGCAATAATTCTTTGCCAAGTAAGTTGACTATGAAATCAATTCAAGTCCCTGAAGTATTTTAACTTTTACTGATATTGTTGGTCTGTTTTCACTGTTTTTATTGTTTACTCCATGGGCAGTAAAACAGTAATACATGGGCAGTAATTGCCATTAATGAAGGTGTTGTTAA